CTCTGACTCAAAAAAAAAAAAAAAAAAAAAATTCTGTTCTTCACTGACACTAGCCACCTTTCAAGTGTCCGTGGTCGTGTGTGGCTGAGCGGTTCTTGGGCTGAAGCTGTGCACATAGAGAACGTTTTCGTCATGACAGAAAGCCAGAGAAACGGTGAGACTAAAATTTGGATTTGGGTCTCACTCATGACAAACCCCAGCAGTTTTTAATCGGGGCAATCTTGTCCCCCAGGGCATTTTCGGTTGTCGCAACTTGGGAAGTGCTGCTGGCATCCAGGGTGGGGACCAGGGAGGCCACGAAGCATCCCCAGAGAATGGAGGCCCGGAGGAGGACACACTGCACAGGACTGAGCCTGCCCCAGAGGACGCTCCAGGCCCACAGCAATGGAGCTGCAGGGTCGATGAGTCCTGCATTCCCGGTCTCTGCCAGGACCTAAGGGCTGGAGCTTCACAGGGTCTCCCACACCTGGCTCCAATCTGTACCCGATCCCCAAACTCACTCCCATCCCCGGCTCGTCCAACGAGAGGGATTCAAGCTGAAGGCTGAAGAGGGTCTACACCCATCGTGGGGACCACCTCCCAGCGGCCCGCACCCAGCATCCTTTCCCACGGGGCTCGTGGGCACTTTGGCCAGGCCTGCGCCGATAGCATCACTCGGCCCCTCCCAGGTGAGGTCACCGCTGCTCACCTGCTTGTCAGCTGCCGGGTTAATGAGGGCCAGGACACCGCCAGCCCCCACCTGCCCGCCAAGACAGGGGAGGTGGAAAAGAGCAGGCAGAGAGGCCCAGAAACCGAAGCCTGCAACATCTGGAACCAAACTACACTCCTTTTCCTTTCCTCTCCCTCCCTTCTTTCTTTTTTTAAAATATATTTTGTAGAGACAAAGTCTCACTGGGTTTGAACTTCTGGGCTCCAGTGATCCTCCCACCTCAGCCTCCCAAAGTGCTGGGATTGCAGGTGTGAGCTGCCACGCCGGGGCCTCTTTTCTTTTTCTTTTTTTGAGTCAGAGTCTCACTCTGTTGCCCAGGTTGGAGTGGCATGATCATGGCTCACTGCGGCCTTGAACTGCTGGGTTCAGGCCATCCTTCTGCCTCAGCTTCCCAAGTAGCTGGGACAACAGGTGTGCACCACCATGCCCAGCTCATTTTTTTATTATTATGATTTGTAGAGACGAGGTCTTGCTATGTTGCCCAGGCTAGTCTTGAGCTTCTGGCCTCAAGCGATCCTCCCCCTCAACCTCCCAAAGTGCTAGGATTATAGGCCACTGCACCCGGCACTTTCTTTCTCCATTTTGGGGGGAAATAAGGAGCCCTTTGTGTGGGGCTGTCCTGTGCACTGCAGGATGTTTTGCAACATCTCTGATCTCTACCCATGAGATGCCAGAAGCACCCACCTCACTGCAGCAATGAAAATGCCCCGGGGCCCCCCGATGGAAACATTGTCTCTCTGCACAGGTGCTGGAGAGGTCCACGGGAGCCTCTGCCTTTGGACGGGGAGCATGTCTCCTCAAGCCCTGCGGCCCCTCAGGACCCCGCCCAGGGCTCTCACCATGTCCGGGAAGAAGGCCGTGGCATAGGAGCCCGTCATGGAGAAGAGCTGGGGGACGTCCACGATGTCGCTCTCCGCCAGGCCCAGCTCCCGCTTCAGCACATCGCGATTCCAGTCGATGCATTTCTAGGAGGAGGAAGGTGGCCGGACAGGGTGGCCCGGCCAGGAACGGCCTGGCGCACCCAGTGCCGCCAGGCCAGGCCTACGCGGAGCCAGCTCTGCCCAGGAATGCCTCTGAGCCTCACGACAGCTCGGTGCGGTGGGAGCCATTGCTCTCCTGGGGAAACTGAGGCTGAAGCACTCTGCCTGAGGGCACACAGCTGGGAAGCGGCAGAGCCAGGGTTTGGACCTAGGCCGGGTCTGGTTCCAAATGTCCTGTCATTATGACACACTGTCCCAGCCGCGGCCACCGCGTGCTTGATGCTCCTGCCCCGTCTTGGCGGTTTAGGAGGAGGTGCCAGGCCCACTGAGGAGGTCCAAGGGGCTGCCTCCTATTTACTGAGTGCGGACTCTGTGCAGGCCCGGCACCGTGCACCGGGCAGGTGGCATCATCCTTGGGGCAAGCCCAGCTCCTTCCTGACACCTCACCGGGACTCCATGCAGGCCCTGCACCGTGCACCCGGCAGATGGCATCCTGGGGGCAAGCCCAGCCCCTCCTGACGCCTCATTCCACCCGCTCTCCTCCCAGGGTCCCCTTGACGTCCAACCCCCGGCCCCGGTCCCTACAGGGCCCTTCTTCCCTCCACATCCCTCACATTTCACCAGACTTCTCGGATGAGAACTCAGAGCTGCTTGCATGGGACTGGGTCGCTTCCCGAGAGCAGGCCGGGTCCTCTCACTAGCCCAGAGGCTCCTCGAGGGCAGAGTTCTGTCCCTTGCATCAGACTGTGTGCTCCCGAAGGCAGAGGCTCTGTCCTACCCACAGGCCCCAGCAGCCCCAGGACAACCAAGCCCCAGGCCTGAACCCCCTCCCCCCAGCCCAGCTGTTCCCAAGGCTGCTTCTTCCTGGAGTGGCCGGTGGTCCTGCCCCTCACCTGCACATGGAGACTGTCGCTCCGGAGATGTCTGTCTTCCAGTATCTCATTAATGCTTATGTTCTTCTTGTATTTCAACCCTGCAAGAGAAAGACGGGACCCGGGCTGCTGCTTGAGGGCCACCTCAGGCCCGGGGCTGCAAAATCCATGCCAAGATTTTCCTTCCACCGCAGTGCCCTGGTCAGAGCAAGGATGGAGAAAGCCCCGTTGCAGGTCAAATCCAGTCATGGATCAGACACCCCCTGGGAAGGGACTCCCAGACTCAGGGCCTTATATTACAGTCCAGCTACCATTACTGAGTGTCCTTCACGTTCTGTTAACCTTATGCAATTTATTACTAATCTTTTTTTCTGGAGTCGGGGGTCTCACTCTGTTGCCCAGGCTGGATGGAGTGCAGTGGCACCATCATGACTCACAGCAGCCTCAACTTCCTGGGCTCAGTCGATCCTTCCACCTCAGCCTCCCAAGTAGCTATCCCAACCACACCTGGCTGGTTTTTTTACTTTTTTGTAGAGATGAGAGCTTGCTATGTTGCCTAAAGAGGCCTCCAACTCCTAGTCTCAGGCCTCCCACCTCAGCCTCCCAAGGTGCCGGGGTTACAGGCGTGAGCCACCATGCCCAGCATATTATTAATCTTTAAAACAATTCTAGGAAGGGTTAACTATCACCTCCAACTCAGAGAAGAGGAAGCCGAGGCACCAAGAGGTTCTGAATACACCTTTAATATTGCAGCCAGCAAGTGGCGAGACCAGGATTTGAACCCAGGACTATCCACGGGGAAGGCTGCACGGTGTCCATCCCCATACGCCCTTTCTCAGGCAAGCACACTGAGGCCCTGGTGGGGGAGGGGAGGTGCTCAAGTGGGCCAGCCAAGCCACGGAGGGTCTGTGGACTCCCGAAGAAGTCTCCACGGAGGGCCCGGACCCCAGGCCCGGTTCCTCCACCACCCGCTCCCGAGACCCAGCCCCGATGCTCGCGGGCTGCACGGGCCAGGACAAGCCACTTCTCCCCGCCCCCGCCTCCAGCCTCAGTCTCCTCTTCTGTGACAAGGATAAGGAAGCGGGGTGTGAGATCAGATGGGCGCGGGAGCATGCCTGTGCCTGACTTGCGTCCCCTCCCTCTCCTGGGGTGTGGCTGGGAGCTACCCCACCCATCAGAGGCCCGGGCAGCCCCCCACGCATCTGTCCCTGACCCAAGAGAGGGAGAGTTTCTCCTTGTCCTCGGCTCCCCGGCACCGCGGCCCGCTCGAGCCAGTCCAGAGGGCTGCGGGGGCTGGATGGGGCTCAGCCAACAGTGCCCAGCGCTGATAGGAAAAGGCAGGGCCCCCCGGGGTGACGGGGTCTTTGGCACTCACCGTCAAACTGGGCCGCCTCCCCGTAGCCCTGCTCTCTCTTCTCCTGGAAGAGCTTGAGGCAAGCGCTGGGGCTGGCCAGGAGCAGCCGGAAGCCCTGGCACGGAGGGAGAAGGGCTCAGTGCAGGGGTCCCCCTAGACACAGGAGACCCCAGACTCAAGAGGAGCCTGACTGTGCTCAAGACTCTCCTTCCCCAGCCACAAGGAACTGCCTGCACCATCCGGAGCCTCCAGGACGGTTCCCGCCGGGCCCTTCTCACTTTGCCCACCAGGGAGCTCCCATTCGTTCCCTCACCCGGTTCTGATGTCCCCTCCTTCACTGGCAGAGGGGCCCCTGGCGGGCACCCTGAGCCTGCCCCTGGCGGAGCTCCCACCCCCTGGGCTGTGACCCCTGGTCCCGGGAGGCCCCCGCTCCGGGCTGCGTGTTCCTCCCCAGCCACCTCCACAAGGCCCAGAGTCCAAGTCCACATGGGGATGTGAGTCCTGTCCTGCCACCTGCAGGCTGTATGAGCTTGGGTGAGCTCGTGGCCCTTCTGAGCCTCAGTGTGCTCACCTGCAAGGTGGGGGCCGTAGGAACAGCCCCTGCTTTAGGGGCTTGTTGGGGGAGTCAGTGAATGAAAACGTGCGGCATGCTGGGCACACAGTAGGTGCTCATGAATACCTCCAACTCTCACCAGTACCATTCCTGGCTCTTGGTCTGGGGATCTGGGTCCAAGTAAATACCCAGGAAGCATGAGGAGGGGCATGTCAGAGTGTCCTGACCCTGAGGGTGCCCTGCCCCAAGGGTGCCCTGACCCCGAGCTCACTCTGGACACAGAATTGAGTTGGTCCCAGGCGGCTTTGCCCTGACTCTTCCCGTCACGTCAGGCTGGGAGGGGCGGAGGGGATGCGGTGGCAGAGAGGGAGGGGACACACCTTTCGGTCGGAGGTGGGCACGAAGCTCAGGAACTCGTCCACGTGGCCCACAGAGAGCCAGTCCGAGTACAGCTCCACGGGCGCTTGCACCTGCTGGGCCTGCAGGAAGTCGCGCACCACCTTGGTCATCCGCCGCCCGCCGGACCTGGCGGGGGAAGGGGCGGGCAGTCACTCCGTGCTCCTGCGTGCTGTCTCCCGCAGGCTTGTCTCGTGACCCCTCCCACCCAGGCTCCCGCCACCCTCCGAATGGGTCCAGAGGGGGAAACTGAGGCTCGGAGAGCTGAAGTGACGTAGCCAGGCCACAGAGCCGAAGAGCGAGGGACAGGGTCACACCCCAATTCCCGCCTGAGGGGAGCCGGGGGTTGGCCCGCCACAGGCCAGGCCTGTGCCAGCCTAGAGGGTGCCCTCTGCTCACTGTTCTGGCCGCCGCCGCACCATCCGAGGCAGGGGCTGGCAGGTGGGTTCCCGCCAGAAGCAGACCAGACCCGACACATCCCGGCCAGCCCCCAGGTGCTCCCGGGAACACGCTCTTCACCCTAACTGACATCCAGTGGGGCAGCCCCTCCCCCACCAGACAGCCTCCTCTGGGGGCCAGGGGGGTCCTCTCCCCCCCCAAAGGAGAGAACACCACTTGCCAAAGGGAGGCGGAGACCCTCATCTGGGCCCGGCATTCAGAGAGGCTAACTCCTTACTCCAGGGGGACACAGCCTTTTGCTGAAAATATGACCAGGGCCTGGTAAGCCCCTCTCTCAGCCCCTGTGGCTCGGATTCAGGCAGTGATGGTCGTCTCAGTGAGAACCCCGGTCCTGACACCCTCTACAGCAGGTGAGGACAGGGCTCAGGAATCTGCATTCTGACACCCGTGAGAGAACCACTGACCTAGGCATTGTGTGTTCATCGCTGTCTGATCCCCAGAGGAGGCATTTTTTAAAATTTTGCGTTGGAGTCTCACTCTGTCGCCCAGACTGGAGTGGAGTGGCCGCTCCTGGCCACCGCAGCCTCGACTTGCTGGGCTCCGGCGATCCTTCCGCCTCAGCCTTCCAAGTAGCCGGAATTACAGGCATGTACTACCACGCCCGGCTGATTTTTTGATTTATTGTAGAGATGATGTCTCGCTGCCCAGGTGGGTCTCGAACCCGCGGGGCTCAGGCAATCCACTCACCTCAGCCTCCCACAGGCGTGGGATTACAGGCTGAGCCACCGTTAACCCACTGTTTGCCAGCAGGGGTGGGCAGGGGGCTTGGGTGGAGTGGGGTAGGGACTGACGTGAAGGGATGGGGCTCAGAGCCGGGGACAGTGGGGCCAGACTGGAGTCCCTGAGCTGGGGGAGAAGACATGCCCAAATGCCGTCTGCGCAAGGGAGGGACCCTCCGAGGCGGCCTCAGGCAAGGCAGTGTCCACATTTCACAGATGAGGCAGCTGAGGTCAGACAGTTTAAGGAGGTGACTTGTGGAGACCGGCTCGGTGGCTCAGCCTGTAATCCTGCGCTTTGGGAGGCCGAGGTGAGTGGATTGTCTGAGCCCGTGGGTTGGAGACCCGCCTGGCCAACTTGGCGAGACCTCATCTCTACAATAAATCAAAAAATTAGCCGGGCATGGTAGCGCACGCCTGTAGTTCCAGCTCCTTGGAAGGCGGAGGCGGAAGGATCGCCAGAGCGCAGCAGGTCAAGGCTGCGGTGGCCGGGAGCAGCCGCTGCACTCCAGTCTGGGTGACAGAGTAGACTCCCACTCAAAAAAAAGAAAGTCAGAACACTTGCTACACTCTGGCATTTCCACCCTTCCCTGCCAAGTTCAAAGACACAAACACGAGCTGTCTGTAGGGATCTGCATTTTCCAATATACCTTCTAGAAAAGGATAGCGTTTCTGCCCTTGCCTGTCCATCGAAGGACATGCCGTGGGCGAGTTCCCAGGCCTGTGTCCTGCCTGATGGCTCTGCCTTAAGTGGAAGTCAGGATCCAGCCCCTCCTCCCTCTGCCATCTCCCTCACCTGCGCCCTCAGGGGCAGGTCCCCCTCCCTGGTCTCTGCGTTCACCCTTCCTCCACCTGGTCATTCCCTTCCTCCACCTGGTCATTCTCTCCTTCACATGCTCAGGTCCGGCCACGCCGGCCTCCTGCCGTGCTGACCCCACCAGGCCCCGCCCTGCCACAGGGCCTTTGCACATGCTCTCCCCATAGCCCCGGGGCCGACTCATTGCTCCTTTGGGCTTAGGTCAAATCTCACCTTCTCGCTGTGTGGGGCCTTTGAAAATGGCCACAGCCCCCACCCCCTCCCGACTTTGTTTCTCTCTGTAGCACCCCGCAGCCTCTGGCACACTCGCATCTTATTGGTGTTCTGTCTCACATCCCACTAGAATGTCAACCCCACGAGGGCAAGAGTTTTTGTCTAAGGTGTTCACTGCTGAATCCCGAGCTCCCTGCCCGTCATAGGTGCTCAGAAAACACCCGAGAATGAGCCCAATCCTACTGAAGCTCTGTGTGAGAGTCCGTGATCTCCGTACATGGAACACACCACACGCATAGACCAGAAGGGAGACCGGTAGGCAGCGAGCGACCAACGAAACCGCTGCTTGGAATTTGGGGGCTGGGCCCGTCGGAAACGTTTTCCTCGTGTTTGTTTGACTACAGTGTTGGCCACTTTCAAGGATTTCTTTTAAAACTGTGAGACGGCCCGGCTCGGTGGCTCAGCCTGTAATCCCACGCTTTGGGAGGCTGAGGTGAGTGGATGGCCTGAGCCCGCGGGGTTCAAGACCCGCCTGGACAGCGAGACCTCATCTCTACAATAAATCAAAAAATTAGCCGGGCGTGGTAGCGCGTGCCTGTAGTTCCAG